GCCAGGCGCCAGTGCTCACACCTATAATTCCGGCGACTGTTGAGGCTGAGTGTGGGGGGATCACCTGGGAGGCCAGGTAGTCTAAGACCAGCGCCGGGCCACAGGATGATACCTCTTCTCTACTAAATAAGACATTGAAGGTCCGGCGCGGTGCGTCTAATGCTCTGTATCCGCAGCACTTCTAGGACTGGCCGAGACGGGCGATCACGATGGTCGAGGAGACGAACACTCTGCCGGCGGGGACCACTGTGAAACCCCGTTCTGCTACTAATATATAATACAAAAAAACTTAGTCCGGTGCGGGATTGTAACGTGGCTGGTGCGCCTCTAGCGTGTGTTTAGTCGCCATACTGTGGGAGGCTGAGGTCGAGGGAGAATGGACGTGGTAAACGCCGTGAGTGCAGAGCTCTTTGCGGAGTCGGGGAGCCGGCGCACCGCGGATCGAGCGCTGGCGACAGAGCGCGCAGAGGCGCGCATCTCCAAAAGATATAAATAAATAACAAAGATTAAAAATAAAAATAGCGTGACCGAAGATGGCCAGGGCGGAGTGGGGGGTGGCTCGACGCCCGGAATCGTCCAACACGGGAGGGAGCAAGGCAGGGGTGGTGATCACGCAGGGAGATGCGAGGACCGGATCGCTGGGCTAACACGTGAAAGTCCGTCTCGTACAAGAGCAAAAGAAAAAATTAGCAGGCGTGGGGGGCGTTGTGGGTGCGTGGCACCTGTGATGCCGGAGTCTACTGTTCGGGGAGGTTGAGGCGAGGGAGCGAGGAACCCGGGGCGCTGGTGAGCTGTGCAGGCCAAGATCGTGGGCATCTGCACTCGCGAGGCGCTGTGGGCGGGATAGAGCGAGAGCTCTGTCGTCAAAAGAAAAAGTTAAATCAGTGTGTGCGATGGGGTGGCGGGCGCCGGAAAGAGCGCGGGTAGCGGAGGCGGAGGGAGACCCAGGAGTGGCAGAGCCAGTGAGCTGAGATGGCGCCAGGGCACTCCAACCGGGAAGGAGACGGCCATCTCAAAAAAGAAAAGGAAAAAGGAGAATTCTGGAGCTTTCTGGACCGTTGGAAGGATGGGTCTGGGGAGTCGTGCCGCAGCGGAGGAGGATGGCGAAGCGGAATGCGCGAGGAAAGGAGAGAGGGGGTGAGGTGACGAGGGACGCCGAGCGCGACAGCGCGCGAGGTGCCCAGCGGAAGGGCCGAGGGTCCGCGGGAGCCCAGAGGTGAGACTTGCCTGGGGTGGGAGTGGTGTGTGGGTCAAGCGGTCCCTTGGTGGTGGGTGGGGTGAAAAAGATTTGCCGAAAGATCTCCCAGATGGGTAGAGAACATGAGGGTTCCCCCAAGGAGAGACAGTTGGTGTTCGGACGGTTCCATGGGCCTGAGTCATTCGTGACAGGCCACCCCCCCAACCCACAGGGTATATTGTAGCTGCAGGCTGGGGCAGCCACGCTGGGCCTGGGCCTGAGTTCCACACTCTGTCCTTGCGAAGTGCCTTCCCTGCGGCGTCAAACCCAACTCCCGGGCGGGCGGCGTGCCCCTCCCTGCCTGTGGGGCAGGAGGGTGGCCCCCAGCCAAGCAGCCCCTATGGAGCCAGTGTTCCCCCCACGCTTGAGGGGTCCGCCTGTCTAACAGGAAGACTTCCCTTGGGCAGAGGAGGGGTGTGGGTCGGATGATACCCGTGTTGCTCACTCTGGCTTCCCAGGAGTTATTTTCTGTCCTGGGAAAATAGAAATGGATGGAAAATGGCTGGCCTTGGGAGTCTCAGCCACGCCGCCACACTCGCTCACTCTCTGGCCTCCGCCATTAATTCCCTCCCCGCCACGCCCCACCCCAACTCACCCGCTTCCTCCATCCTTATCCTTGCCTGGCACCAGGCTGTCTGGAGGACAGGCATGCACACGTGTGCACCCGCTCACGCACGTGGCCGGGCTCTGGGACCTCGGGACCACTTCTCCCAGGCACCCCTCGTCACCCACGGAGATGGGAGGCCTGGCCCTCCCCTCTCTCCAGGAGTCTCCTCTCTCCCATCCTCCGGGCCCACAGTGGTTGGCCTTCTCCTAGTGAGTCCTAGCAGAGGAAAGGAATGTCCAGGCCTCTCTCAGAGTGAGGGGGCTTGTCCCCCGTTGTCCTCAGCAATGAGACTCCTGCTGGAATCCCAAGTCAGCCTAAGAAGGTCCATTTGCTGCAGAGGAAGAAAGAATATTTCCTCCTTATTTTTTTCTGGGGAGATTCTCAATATTTCAATAAAACCTTGGGGTTTTTTTTTTGGTTTTGTTTTTTGTTTTTGAGACAGTCTTCCTGTGTCATCCAGGCTGGAGTGCAGTGGCCCCATTTCAGCTCACTGCAACCTCTGCCTTCTGGGTTCAAGCAATTCTCCTGCCTCAGCCTCCCTAGTAGCTGGAATTACAGGCGTGCACCACCACACCCGGCTAATTTTTTTGTGTTTTTAGTAGAGATGGGATTTCACCATGTTGGCTAGACTGTTCTCAAACTCCTGATCTCAGGTGATCTGCCTACCTTGGCCTCCCAAAATGCTGGGATTACAGGCATGAGCCACCGTGTCTGGGCTGTTTTTTTTGTTTTTTTTTTTGTGACAGTCTGGCTCTGTGGCCCAGGCTGGAGTACAGTGGCATTTTCTTGGCTCACTGAAACCTTCGCCATCCTGGGTTCAAGTGATTCTCCTGCCTCAGCCTCCTGAGTAGCTGGGACTATAGGTGCATGCCACCACACCCAGCCCATTCTTTTGTATTTTTAGTAGAGACGGGGTTTCACCATATTGGCCAGGCTGGTCTCGAACTCCTGACCTCACATGATCCACCTGCCTCAGCTTCCCAAAGTGCTGGGATTACAGGAACAAGCCACTGCACCCAACCTCAACCTTGGGGTTTTATTAGACAGTTTTGAGGGGGAAAGAAAGGCAGGCATGAGAGGCTTAAAATATCGAAGACGAGTGGGCTTTGGTGTTCTTCCACAAAGAGTTCTAAGTAGGGAATACTGGCAGGGTGCAGTGGCTTATGCTGGTAATCCCAGTGCTTTGGGAAGCAGAGGCGGGAGGATCTCTTGAGGCCAGGAGTTCGAGACCAGCCTGGGCAACAGCAAGACCCTGTCTCTACAAAAAAATTAAAAAATTAGCCAGGTGTGGTGGGGCACACCTATAGTCCCAGCTACTTGGGAGGCTGACGTGGGAGGATTGCTTGAGCTCAGGAGGTGGAGGCTGCAGTGAGCTATGATTGCATCACTGTACTCCAGCCTGATCAACAGAGCAAGACCCTGTTGAAAGAAAGAAAGAGGAAGGAAGGAAGGAAGGAAGGAAGGAGGGAGGGAGGGAGGGAGAGAGGGAGGGAGGGAGGGAAAGGAAGAGAAGAGAAGAGAGGAGAG